GCGCGGGCACATCGGGCAGGTGGACGCGCAAGCGCTCCGCTATCTGGGGCGCGGAGAGGATATCGGCCCCCAGCAGGAACAGACGCTGAAGGTATTGCCTGTCGGTGATGAGCGTCTTGCCGTCGTCGTCCGGCCGAATCAGCATGGCGCCGTTCTCGCCCAAGCCAGCGTTGAGGAACGCCTCCACGGGCCCCAATTCCGCGAGCTCCATCCACTGCGTCGCCGAGGGAGGCGCGGGCGCCCCGTCGGCCTGGCCCGGGGGCGCGCCGCTCACAGCGGGCGCCGCTGCCCGGCCAGCGGCCGCGGGAGGCGAAAGCGCCCCGCCGGCCCGGCCAGAGGGCGCGGCGCTCGCAGCGGCTTGCGCAGCCGCTGCGGCTTGGGCAGCGGCGTCTCCCGTCTCCGCCGCCGCGGCTGCCGCGGTCGAAACCTCCGCGGGCGCCTCCCCCGCGTCCCCGCCGTCAGCAAGCCCCTCGGCATCGCGCTGGCCCTGGTCGCCGTCCTCGGCGGTCTCTGCGAACGGCTGCGACAAGTACGGGGGCACGAAGCGGCGGCGGTCGTAATCCCCGCGAACGGGAGGACGCCCAGCCCCCGCAGTCTCGCGCGGGTCACGCGGCAAGCCGGACAGGTCGGTGTCGCGTGCCAGCTTCTTGATATGCAGACTGATCTGCACGATGCGCTGGCTCAAATCGACATCCTCAGTATCGATTTTGATGCTGTCCTCTGCAGGGTCTGAGTCGGCGGCTGCCACGCGCAGGATGCGCACGAGCCCGGCCCGCACGCCAATCTGGCCAGCCGCCGCCCCGTGCTGGGCCTCGCCGGGCCCGTCCTCCCCGCGGGACGCGCTGGCGAGGAGGCTCTGCTCAAGCTGCGCTCCGAGGAGGTGTTCGCGCGCCGCCGGGTCAAACGGGATGGCGAAGTGAGGTCTGTTCTTGAAGTAGCCGATGACGCGCCGCACCCCTGGGACCAGCGCCGTGTACGGCGATGGCAGCATCCACCTCGCGGAAATCCGGCACTGCGTCTGCATGGCCCCATCGGTGAACTGATACCGCAGGCGCACCTCCACGCCGTCTGGCAGGTGGACCCTGAACCCCTGCTGAGGCCCAATGAACGTCACGACGGGCTGGGTCCCGGAGCTCGCGCTCAGGGGGCGCGCCTCGCCCTCGGCCTCGTCCTCGGGCCCTGGCTTCAAGACCTCCTCAGCGAGAGCAGGCTCCTGGTAGCATGCGCTCCAGCCGAAGCTGTCCGCCAATCTTGCCGTCAGCGGCAGCCACGTCCAGCGAGGGCAAATGGCCCCTTCTCTATCGCGCGGCATGTCGTAATCAGCGGGGAGAGGCTCGTGGCGCTTGGTGGCCGGGCCAGCGCAATAAATGCTCCGCTCTTTCGTGGCCGCCACGTGGTTGCCGACGTGCCCTCTCTCCACGGCCATCAGCATCTTCCAGTGCCAATTGCCGATGATGGCGACATTGACAGCAGGAGATCCAACGCTGCCGTACGAACCGCTGGTTCTCGTGTCACGCTGTAGCTTGCCCGTGCCGATGAGGGCGTTGATCGTTGAGGCGTGCTGGGACGGCGCGGTGTCCCTGGCAGCCCCGCCGCGGACTTCGCTGGTGGTGAGGCCGATCTGGCCAAGAAAACTGTAGGCTTCGTCTAGGTTCACCATCGTGCTGTACCAGGCGCGTGGCGCCCACGCTGAAAGCACGTCATGTTCCTTGACCTCCTGCGGGGGCTGGCGCATTAACCCCCGCGACCAAAGCAAAGTTTTGCGCGCGTCAGAACCTCGCTCTGGCCGTGGAAGCTAATCCATGAAAAGCAATGCTGAATTTCCACTTCGGGCGCGCGGCCCAAGTACCCAAAGGGAAAGTCAGGGTAATAGACGATTCCCAAAACAGTGCTTGCACTTAGGGGCTCTTGCTTGGCTTGACCATCTCGGGGCCGTCCCCGGCTTTTGCGGGCGGTGCCGCCCGTCGCCGTCAGTCGCCGCCGCCCGTCTCGGGGCCGCCCCCGGCTTTTGCGGGCGGTGGCGCCCGTCGCCGTCCGTCGCCGCCGCACTGCATGAGGTTGCACCTCGTAGATTGCACCACATAGAGCGCACCACATAGATTGCACCGCATGTATTGCATTACATAGGTTGCATCGCATACATTTTCCTTTCTAGAACAAATATAGACCCCCCCCCCCCCCCCCAACACACGCACGCACACACACACACACACACACACGCACGCACACACGCACGCACGCACGCACGCACGCACGCACACACACACACACACACACACAACACACACACACACACACACACCCACGCACACACGCACGCACGCACGCACGCACGCACGCACGCACGCACACACACACACGGACTTATCAACCCCCTTTTCCGGACATGCAATGTACACATGACTCTGGCCCCTCGCCCATCCGAACTGTAAACTCATACCATCCTGCGCGATCACGGCCTGCGTGCCAGCGCGCATGTTGCGAATTGCTCAGCAGCTTTGCTGGATAATTGCAGGCGTAGCCCAATGCGTTTTGCCGAACAAGTTGCGGGTGGGTGGGTGGGACGTTTGCACGAGCGCGGGAGATGACGCCTTCAATTTCCCGAAGATGAACTGCACCACGTTGATTGCACCGCATATATTGCCAGAACCTACTGTTTGGGGCCCACGCTGGCGAACATTTTCTCTCGGGCGCGGGGAGGGGCGGAGGGCGGAAGGGGGGGTCGCTCAGGAGCCCCGCGGCCCTTCGCCCGCGCAGCGTTGCGGCCAAAGCGGTCCTCGATCTGACCCCAGTCCCCCGAGCACCGGGCGAAGAGCTCAGTGGGAGTGAAGTCCTGCATTCCAACGGTTTTCACCGTGACCTGCCGCGGCTTCTTGCTCTCCCAAACCTCCGCGGCAACGCCTGCAGGCGGCTCTGCGGAATCGAGGCGCTCCTGCACGACCGCTGCAATCTCATCGTCGGCAGCAGCGATCATTGCCGAGACGGCAGCAGTGATGCGGCTCTTCCCCTGCTGCGCGTCGCCCCCGTACAGCGCCATCGCGGACAGCGGGGTGACGTCCGCGTTCCAGGGGCGGGCGCAAGCGCGGGGGGGGGGCCCAGAGTGGCGATTGACAAATAGGATGAAGGGAATGCGCGCAGCGTGGGCGCGGCGCTACGCGCGTCACAGAAATCCACACAGAGACGCCCGCCGGTGCGTTGCCCCCCATTCCTTGGAGGGCGGCGGCGCATGAAATCGCCGGCTCTCAGCGGTGATATACGCGCCGCCGCCTTCTACCGGGCTTGGGGGCAATCCACGAGGAGGAGCGTCAATGCATGCACTGCTGCGGCGCAATTTGGATCCAAAAGTCCAGAGCTGGATGTTGGCGCCGTTGCTGAGGCCGGCCATCGCGGCCGCCGTCATGGCGAGCACGGGCAGCGCCCCCTGGCCAGTGGCCACCTCGAGCGGGCGCAACAACTTCTGCAGCTCCGCGGGGAGGTGCTCGCTCGCCGAGAAGTTGTTGTCAACGTAGTCGTTCACGGCGTCTGCCAAGGCCTGGATCTCCGCGCCTGTAATCTCGGGCGCCCGGTTAGAGGGAGCCATGTCCTGCGGCAAACCTCAGAGAAGGCGTCGCCCTGCACGCGTGCGCAAGTGAAGGAGCAATTAACCGGGGAGTACAAACCAGGTGTTAGGTTATGTAGCTTGATAACAAAGTGGCACGCGCCGCGGTGAATGCATGGGAGTGAAGCTTTTGGAAGATTCCCGCATCTGTCTAATCACTGCCGCCGATCGATCGCGCCCCTAGCCACTTTCCCGACAAATGAACTGCACGTTCCAACCCCTGTCCAAAACAAACCACCGCCTTGTCTAATTAACATCTGAGCGTTCGCGTTGTGTTTGTTCGTTTGTTGTTATGTTTCGTTGTATTGATGTATGTGTCTTCTTTATTGTTTATTCTTTCTTTTTTTTTTTTGGGGGGGGGCAGCCCCCCTTTGTGCGCCGGCAAGGCGTGAAATCGGAATGGGCCGAGCGGTAGGCCCAAATAAACCGGTTGTTGGGCCCCCACCGAAAAAAAACTGCCCGGGAACAGTCGACGCCCCATCCTCCCAACGTCCAATCCTGCAACTGCGAGAGACCGTCGACATGGGGTCAGGCGGGAACGCAAACATTCGGTTGCCCGAGGATGTCAACTGTCGGATAAGCAATGAGTCAGTCGCGCGCAATCAGACGGTGGCTGGCGACACGCATGAACATGTCAAGGAAATTCAATGCACCTGACACCTGGTTTACGAACCCTGGTAATGAGGCCTCAAGAAAACTCAGAACCGAAGCGGCTGTGGTTGCCGATGGCAATCGGGGCAAGGCGGAGGGGCGGACGCAACGAATCTGACGGCGCGGGAGACGACGCCAAAGCCCCTGGACATCATCGACGACGTGCGGACGGGCGAGAACTGGCTGGACAACGATGAGTTCGGCGGCGTCAGCAAAGGCGATGGCGACGACCATGGCAACGACGACTGCGGCGACGGGCCTTCTTGTCGCAGACAGCGCTCAGCCAATGCAAGTCAGGGCGCGCAAGGAGGTGGTTTCGGGCAAATGGGGGCCGTTCCAATTGGGGCCGCGAATGCAAATGCAAGAGTTCGTTGTGCGAGCGAGCCACCCCGCACGACATCGCGGAACTAGTGCGAATTATTGCGACGACGGGCTCGATTATTGTGTCGACCAAAACCTTTGGCGCATGGTCAGGCAAAGCTATGGCATCTTGTCACGACAGCGATTGCAAACCATTGTTCCCTGAAAGCGAGACTAAGCAAGCAATTGTAACGCAGAAACAAATCATCGCATTCGAGCGCACGAACTATTGCATCCCGATTACTGCGCGGGGCATTGCATGATGAATACGCGCAGTACGAACAGTTGCATGCACCTGCGCGCGCATTTGCGGCCCCCTTTGCATTGAATCAGGCTGCCCGATTCTAAAGGAGGGGCTGCGGGAACCTCGCCTGGCGCATGCAAGCGGCGCCTTGCCGCTGAACAAGCGCCGTTGATCTGGCCGGACCGGCGGGGGCGGCCGCCGGACGACGACGCCAGGTCGCCGACAGAGCGCATCCAGGCGCGCATTTAAATCGCCACCGTGGAAGCGCGGGAAGCCTTGATTCTGCAGCAGCGGCTGCGCGGCAAGCGCCTCCTCAAGCGCGGGCCACGTCAACGCCAAGGGGCGGAGATCGAAGACAGCGCCCACGTGCAGGACGTCGAACGAGAGAGCTGGGGCGAGGTACGCGGTCAGCTCGTCACGGAGGCGCTCCGGAATCGCGCGGAGCAAGCGCTGCGCGTCGTCGGCGTTGCAGCCGCGCTGCGCTGGCCCAGCGCAGACCGCAACTCCGGCAGCGGTGTCCTTCCCGAAAATGACCCGGGCCCCAGGGCATGCGAAAGCCATTGTGTTCCCAGGGTGCCCTTTAAAATGCCCCTGGCACTCGAAAAACTTCTCGCCGTCAGCGAGAGCAGCTGCCCAAACCGGCAAGAGCCTCCGGCGCACGATAATCGCCTGCGCCGCATCCGGGGCGGCGCCCGCGGCCGCCGCCCTGCCCGCGCCCGCGGGCGCCCCCGCCGGGGCCGAGCCCGCGGCGGGAATCTCTGCGGGCACCGGGCGTGGGGGAAGCGCGCGGTCGAGCCGGGCTGCCTTCCGGGCCGCCCTGGCAGCCCCGCGCGCCGCTTCCTGGGCGCGCAACTCATTGTGAACGTCCACGCATTCGCCCACGATGAAGTCGCAGACCCACCGCCCCATGTGGTGTACGGTGTGCGCCAAGGGCGACAGCTGCGCGTTGACAGACTCGCATATCGGCGTGGGGAAATCACCCAGGGCGGCAGCGTTCGCGGGCACGTCTGGGAAGCATTCCGCCTTGCACGTGGCATCGACGTGCCCTTTGCTGCGGGGTCGGTCGACGACGTACCGAAACTGGCCCAGGCGAACGGCCAGGCTGCCGGGCGCTGCGCCCTCCGCCCTGCCCTTGGCGAATAAACGCACGCGGCACGCGTCGTCGTGCACGAGCGTCTTGAGCTCCGGGACGGCACTTGCCACGTCTGCCAAAAAGCAATAGCGCTGGGAAAGCGTCTCAGCAGTAATCACTTCTTCAAGAGCACCGACAATCCCGCTCTCTGAGACTGCGGCAAGGAAGCCGGCCGACCGTTCTGCCGCGCGGATGGCCGAGACAGACTCCTTGCGCGTCTTGCACGAGCACTTGTCTTTAGCGTATCCGGAAGCCCAGTCGCCTAAGACCAAGCGAAGCGGTTGTCGGCGCAACTCCCTGCGCTCTTGACGACGGCGTTTGCGCTCTTGAATGACCTGTTCTGCATTCTTAGCGAAATACGCTTGCACGGTCGAGTCGGGGACCGTGCACGCGGGCTGCCAATTAGCGAAGCCCGTCATTCGCACTTCAACGTCAAGGTAAGCCATGGCGGACAGGGGCGCCCGCACGCGGTGCGCTTCGATTTCTCCAGCGAGGGCAGGGCGGTCGGCGAGCTCCTGGCGACGCCGGCAAAGCACTCCTTTCTGCAAAGGCGACTCTGGGCAACCACGCACCAAGTGCAAGTCCAGGGCGTCGTGGTAAACGGCCTCGGCGCACGGCGCGCCGCACGATCGCCGGTACAGCTTGGCGTTGCCGTCGACGCAGACGATGTCCATCCTGTCTCCGCTGGCCCGCCACGCGCGGAGGCGGCGCTCCTTCATGAGAGGGCGGCACCAGGATGCGCAACTCTGCAGGAAGCTCTCCAGAGGCAATTCCAACAAAGAGCTTGCCAGGGCAGCGCGAGCGCCCTCGCGCTCCAAAGATCTCTGCCACATCTGGTGCCGCACCCATGCGGATTCCAGCGATTGCTCCAGAGTCTCCGTGGCGACTTCTGGTTCCAACGCCCGCAAGATCTGGGCCTCTCCAAGGAAGGACGCCCTGTGCGCGTACAAACGGCAGGCCCACCGCTGCGCCCACTGATCATGCACGCCGAAAGACTTGTTGAGCATGAAGATCTCTGACGCAGGACAACCGGTATCCACCCTCTTCGTGAAACCGCCCTGGCCATTCCCAGAAGGGGACTCAACGTACCCACGCCAGTACTTATACATGTGCCCCTTGTCGCAACTGCGTTTGCATTGTTTGGCGTAGTGACGCATTACAAGACACCGCGGCTCCGCCACAACTAAGCATTTCACCGGGCTCCTTTGCGGCACAGGGACCAACGGGCCCGAACAAACAGGGCAGCATGACCAGGTCGTCGTGAGCTCTGGCAGGAGCGCCGCCCTGGCGCCTGCAGCACTGGAGCCCCCGCTGGATGCGGCTGCCGGGGCAGAACCAGGCACGGCGTCGCGTGAGCTTGCGGGCGCGCCCATGGCCCGCGGGCCGGACCCCGGGCGCGTAGCAGAGCAAGACCGCGGATGCGCCGCCGCAGCGCCACTGGCGCCGGAGCCCCTGCAGGATGCGGCTGCCGCGGCGGAACTACGCACGGCGTCGTCTGCGCCGGCAAGCGCCTCCATGGCCTGGGGCCCAGGCCCCGGGCGCGCAACTGCAACGCAAGCCTTCCACAACGGCCGCACCGGCGGCGGAGGAGCACTGGCGGACGGTTGGCGGTGCGCCCGCAGGTCCGCTGCTCGCCACAACGGTCGCACTGGCGCCGCGCCAGCGTCCACAGTGCAGCGGCCACCGTGTTCACGACCGCCTCCTGTCCCAGGCGGCGCGAGGAGTGGTTGCTGCGCCGCCGGGCGAAGCGGTGAAGAAGGGGAAGTCGACGACTGGCGTGGAGACCATAATGGCCGCACGGGCAGCATGCAGGACAGCGAAGTAGCGTCCGCCAGACGCGAGCGAAAGACGGCTCGAGCCAAAATGCTTACGCAGACTAGAGCGGGGAAGGAGAAGGAGGAGGAGCAGCACCAAGAGGAGGAGGACCTCTTTATTCCTCCAATGACATCTGGCGACCTGTGGAGTAGTCCCACCAGCCCTCTGGGCGTAGGTGGTCTAAGGAGTTTCCTCTTCCAACCCCCTTTTCCCCATCGGGGAAGGGTGTACCCCTCCCCCTACCCCCTCCCCCTGCACCTGGACGAGGCGTTCCGCGACGCGTTGGGGCGTCCAAGATAGCCCAAGACGGCTCCAAAAGGGCCTCAGAGAGTCCAAGATGGCCTCCAAGATAGCTCAACAGAGCGCAAAAACGCTCAATATGGCTTCCAAGATGCTTCAAGAGGCCCCAAGACCGCCCCAAGACGGTCCTTAGTTGCCAAAAAGCTCCCCAATCTTTACAAAACCCACAGAAATCAATGTTTGTTGCTTTCTCGCCTTTTCGCTTCCGATGGCCTTCCGAGGCCTCAAGTCAGCTCGAAGAGGGCCCATGAGGGCCCCAAGAGAGGCCCAAGAGAGCCCCAATACTGTCCCAAGAGAGCCCGAAAGCGCTCCAAGATCGCCCCAAGAGGGGTCCAGGAGGGGATTCTTGGGACTCCCGAGGGGCAGGGCGAATTGCGACCATCCCCTTCTTTGATCGATGTCCTCCAAGATGGCCCCAAGAGCGCCTCGAAAGCTCCCAAAGGCGCTCCAAGGTCGCCTCATCACTTCAACTCCCCTGGGCAGCGTTTCTGGATGGGCTGGTGGGGATGCGCGAAGCGTCAACAATTTCTTGGAGGCTGCCTCTTCGGCTGCCTTGTTGGCTGCCTAGATGGTCTCCAATGTCCCCAACGCAGCCTCCGAAACGCTGAACAATGCTCCACGAGAGCCCCAAGACTGCCTCAAAGGCGTCCGAAATCCGCCACCGTGCCTGCCCGGAGTGGGCGCGTTAGAATGCTCATCAGGTCCATTTTTGGGAAAGTTTCTATTTTTCTAGGGCCGCCCCCCCCCCTCCCCCTCGCGCGCACCCATCGCAGACTGGCCCCCCTGAAATTGCTCCCCGGCGTTCTTTTCAGCCTCCAGACGGCCACGATGGCCTCCAAGAGGGCCCTCTGGTTCTGGTTCCGGGTCTGGCTTTGGCTCTGGCTCTGGTTCTGGTTCTGGCTCTGGTTCTGGCTCTGGGGCCGGCTCGGCTCTGGCTCTGTCCATGGTTCTGGGTTTGGCTTTGGCTCTGGCTCTGGCTCTGGTTCTGGTTCTGGCTCTGGCTCTGGTTCTGGTTCTGGCTCTGGCTCTGGTTCTGGTTCTGGTTCTGGCTCTGGCTCTGGTTCTGGTTCTGGCTCTGGCTCTGGCTCTGGTTCTGTCTCTGGCTCTGGCTCTCGTTAAGGTTATGGTTATGGCTCTGGTTCCGGTTCTGCTTCTGGATCTGGCTTTGGTTGTGGTTCTGGTTCTGGCTATGGTTCTGGTTCGGGCTCTGGCTCTGCCTCTGGTTCTGGCTCTGGCTCTGGCTCTGGTTCTGGTTCTGGCTCTGGCTCTCGTTCTGGCTATGGTTCCTGTTCTGCTTCTGGATCTGGCTCTGGTTTCTGTTCTGGTTCTGGCTATGGTTCTCGTTCTGGCTTTGTTTCGGGCTCTGGGGCCGGCTCTGGTTCAGGCTCTAGTTTTGGCTCTGGGTCAGGTTCTGTTCTGGCTCCGGCTCGGGTTCTGACTCTGGTCATGATGGTGTTGGTTCTGGTTCTGGCTCTGGTTCTGGCTCTGCCTCTGGTTCTGGGTTTGGTTTTGGCTCTGGCTATGGTTCTTGTTCTGGCACTGGTTCTGGCTCTGGTGCCGCTTCTAGTTTTGGCTCTGGTTCCGGTTATGGCTTTGGCTCTGGTGTTGATTCTCGCTGTGGTTCTCGCTTTGGTTCGGGCTTTGGCTCTGGATCTGGTTCGGGCTCTGGCTCTGGTTCTGGTTCTGGCTTTGCTTCTGGCTCTGGTTCTGGGTCTGGCTTTGGTTCAGGCTCTGGTTCTGCTTCTGGTTCTGGCTCTGGGGCCGGCTCTGGCTCTGGTTTTGGCTATGGTTCTGGCTCTGGCTCTGCTTGTCTTTCTGGGGTTGGGTCTGGGTGTGGTTACGGCCACGGCCGAAGATTTTGGTCGATAATGGCCGGTTTTTGCACGCCTTCCTACCGCGAGGGGATTCCAAGAAGCCTCTGGCGCATTTCCCTTGCGATTTGTATTGCACGTGCCATCGATTTTGCGCCATTCTGCGCCGTTAGGCCCCTTGCGCGCCCCCGGGGGCCCAGAGCGCCGGAAAAAAGAAACATATTCGTCGTTAGCGCCGGTTTTTTGTTCGATTCCAGGACGAAGGGTGTCCGGAAACTTCGGATCATCTGTTTCCCCAGATGGCGTTCATACATTTTCCGCGTCGACAGAAGGCCTGGCGCGGGGTCGGCCGGGAAACGTTTTTTATCGAAAGCTTCCAGAAGTTTCGGGCAAAGGCGGCCGGGGCTTCCAGAAGTTTCCGCCCCCGGGCACCTCATGGGCATCCCCGGGGAACCCCAGATACGCCCTCGCTGTTTCTGCTGCGTTCTCTGGCGGGGTGGGTGGGAACGGAGGGAGGAGGAGGGGGAAGGAAGGATGCCAATGCTTTTGGCCGCGGGCCGCGGAGACTGCCCCCCCCGCGCACGCCCGTGAAAGGCGCGGCGAAAACATAATAAACAATCACGTCGTGCATCAGCTGCACTTACCGCCTGCCCCTCGTGCTCATCACCCCCGACGGCCCCCGCCTCCTCCGCCTTTTCTCCACCCCCTCTTCCGTATCCGCCCCCTCCTGCGCATAATGATCCTCCTCATCCTGCCTTCCCGCTCCCGCCCTCGCCCACCTCGCCCACCTCTCCCGCCTACGCCTCCTCTTCTCCTCCATCCTCCTCCTCCCCCTCCTCCTCCTCCTCCTCCTCCTCCTCCTCCTCCTCCTCCTCCTCCTCCTCCTCATCCTCCTCCTCATCTCCCTCCTCCTCCCCCGACGAGCGCCCCGCCTCCCGCAGCCACTCCGGCCGTCTCACGTGCGCGCGGGTCAGATCCCGAGCAACTTCTGACGCCGATGGCCCTGCCTCTGCTCCCTGCGCTTCGCCGCCGCCTGCAGAACAGCGCACCGGTCCTTCACCTCCTGCTCGCTCATGCCGACGCGCCCCGCCATGGCCGCTCCCTGCGCACCCCCTCCCCGGAGAAAGATTTTCGCCGCCTTCACGACGATTTCGTCATTCGTCTTCTGCTCGGCGAGCTCTGCAGGGGTGGGTGGGTTTCTGCCAGAACGACTCCTGCAAGTCGATGTGAAACCAGACGAGATGCCCGTTCTTCGGGGTCTTGCTCTGCCTTCATGCCGTCTCGTCGAGCCACGACCGCATCTCGGCGTTGAAGTCGGCCTCCTCCTGGGTCTCCTGGAGAGCGTCGCCTTGCACGGCGCAAACCATGGGCGTCACGCTAGGAAGGAGCGCGTTCGGGCAGAGCGAGGGCGGGCCCAGCGCCAGCCTGAACGCGCGCAACCTTCCGCGATGGTCACCTTTGGGTTTACGCAATGCGACCTGACACGTGGTCGTACGGGTCCCGCTTCTTCCCCCCCTTCTCGACGGCGTCCGTTTGGCCCTCGTTCTTCTCCATGTCTGCCGAGTCCTGCTGGGGGCCGCGGTCCTCTTGCTTGCGCCCCTGCTCCGCGTCCGTCTGTCGCTGCACCTCCTGCGCGTTCTGCTCCAGTTTCTGCTCGCGGCCGCGCTCCGTCTGGCCCAGCTCCCGGTCTCCGGCCGTTTGCCACCCCTGCTCTTCCGGTCGGTTCCCCGACATCTGCTCGCGGCCTCGCTCCTTTGCGTCGGGCTCCTTCTCCCAGTACTTCTGCCGCTTCCAGTCCGCGCCCTCCTCCCCCTGCCAGTCCCAGTGATTGCGCTTCTTCCAGGCTCCCTGCGTCTGCGCCGAGGACTGCCACTTCTGCCACCCCTGCGTCGGACAGCGCAGGCTCCGCGGCGAAAATGCGCATCCCAGGGGCACCTCCGGCATCGCGCAGAAAGAACTTTCTTAGACATTCACCCCCTGTCTCCCCCAAGCAGACCGCGGGGGGAACTGGCCGTGCTCTTCTCTTCTCTCCGCGCGCCGCCCGAGGTGCCCCGGAAAATGCGATCGCGCGCATTTGTCCGCGGGGCGCGCCGCCCGCCCACGCCTGGCCCCACTCGGCGCTCGACCGCGAGGTGTTCGACCACGCGGCGTTCCAGCCACCGCGCCACCAGCTGCCGCCCGAGCTGTCGCCCTTGCTGCGCTGGTCCTCCTGCGCGTTTTGCGCGGGCTCCCTGGGCCGCGTGGCGGTGGACTGCGGGGCCCATCCACCACCGCGCCACCAGCTGCCACTGTGGCCCTCCGGCGTCTCCTTCGGCGCGCCCTCGCCTCCCGGCGCACTATGGTCGTTGTCGCCCTTGGTGTCGGTCTTGCTCAGCTGGCACCCTGTCCCGCGCTCCGCGGGCCTGGTCTTCTCCGCGCTCGCCGGGGCCACGGCCGCGCGCGCGGTGGCGGCCAACTCCGGGCTCGCCTTGGCGAACCACGTCTCCTGGATCAGGGCGGGACGTTGTTCCAAGTTTGGGGATGTGCGTGGCCTGGGAATGGCAACGCTCGAGACTCCGATGTTGAATCTGGCTCTGTCTTTGGTGCTGGGGCTGGCGCGCATGCGCACAGAGGTGTATGTGCATGTGCCAATGGCCATCCGTACATGCGAGAACGAGTTTTGCATGCTCGTGGCGGTGGACAAAATATTGTTTGTGTTTGCTTCGGGCTGTGGCTATTGTAGATGGCGTGGTGGTGGTGGTGGTGGTGTGTGCATGGTGGTGTATGCTGCTATAACTATGTTGATGCAGGTGGGCATCGTTCTGCTATGTATTTCGGCATGGTTCTTGGTGCACAATGAATATGGGTATTGTTGTGGGTGTGGGTTTTCCGACGGCCCCCGGTCCTGCGCAGCGGCTGGCAGGCCACGCAGCAACCTCACGACGGCTCGGCGTTTGGGCTCTGCGGGCAACACTCCGAGCAGCAGCGTGTTGCACAACGTGCAGATTGTAGCCGCTGTGAGCGTAGCTCCGCCGTCCTTGCCCCAGCGACAGCCGTCATGCTTGCACGCTCCCACCATGAACTTGGAGATGTCAGGCGGGCGCCTGGCAAACAGGCCTCGCCTCGACAGTTTGGGTTGCCTCGGACCACAACGGCCACGGTCAGTGAGCGCTGCTCTGGGCGCTGCATCGGACTCCCCCTCCTGCTCCGTCCGTCCGTCCGTCCGTCCGTCCTCCTCCTCCTCCTCCTCCTCCTCCTCCTACGACGGCGCTGGAACCGTCAGAGTGCGATTCGTGATGGAAAGGCCGGCCCCGCGGAGAGGGTCGGGACTTCGGGGACTCTCTCTCTGTCTCTCTCTCTCTCTCTCTCTCTCTCTCTCTCTCTCTCTCTCTCTCTCTCTCTCTCTCTTCTTAGTACCACCAGCCCTTTAGGGCTACGGTGGTATAACGAGTTTGTTCTTCTCTCTTCCCCCTCCTTCCCCTGCTCGGGGGAGGGGTTTACCCCTCCCCCTACCCCCTCCCCTGGACCTGGAGGGGGGGGGGCTGGAGGCGTTAGAGCGTCCAAGATGGCTCAAGATGGCTCCAAGAGGCGCTCCAAGTCGCAAAATGGCCTCCAAGATGGCCCAAGATACCTCAAGATGGGTCAAGATAGCCTCCGACATACCTCCAAGAGGCCTCAAGACAGCCCCAAGACGGATCCAAGTGCCCTTCGAGCCCTCCACGGCGCCCTCCAAGATGCCAAAACAATTAAAAAGCCTAGGGAAAACCAATGTGTTTGGCATTCTCGCCTTTTCGCTTCCGATGGGCTTTGGAAGCCTCAAGATGGCCCCAAGATGGCCCAAAAGAGCCCCAAGAGGGGCTCAAGAAGGCCCAAGACGGCTCCAAGATCGCCCAAGAGGCGCCCAAGAGCGCTCCAAGACGGCCCCAAGACGCCGTTTGAGAGCCTCCGAGGGGGCGATGCTAATTAAGGGACCTCCTCTTTTCGAGCCATGGGGCCCAAGATGACCCCAAGAGGCCTCCCAGCCTCTCCCAAAGACCCTCCACCCCGCCCTTTTTGGCCCAAGATGGCTCCAAGAGAGCCCAAGATGGCCTTCAAAATGGCCTAGGATAGCCAAGCATGGCTCAAGATAGCTTCCGACAGACCTCCAAGAGGCCTCAAGGCAGCCTCACTATGGCCCAACATAGCCGAGCATGGCTCAATATAGCCTCCGACAGTCTCTAGCCGAGCATGGCTCAAGATAGCCTCCAAGAGGCTTCAAGAAAACTGGCAATCAATTCTGGATGGGCTGGTGAGAATACGCGAAGCGTCAAGAATTTCTTTCTCTCTCTTTCTCTGCGTCCCTCTTTGTCTCAGTCGCCAAGAAACACAGAAACACAACGACGAAGAGCAGCGGGCAGCTGTTTTCCACCATTATGCGGGGAGGGTGCAGGGAGGAGGGAGGCAGGCAGGCAGCAAGGAGGGGGGAAGAGACAGCGGACTGAGGGACCAGGGACCAGGGACCGGGGACCGGGGACCGGGGACCGGGGACCGGGGACCGGGGACCGGGGACCGGGGACCGGGGACCGGGGACCGGGGACCGGGGACCGGGGACCGGGGACCGGGGACCGGGGACCGGGGACCGGGGACCGGGGACCGGGGACCGGGGACCGGGACCGGGGACCGGACCGGGGACCGGACTGAGGAATTCCCCCATTGTGACATTTGGAACATGCGCGGCCAACCAGATGCACCCCCCCCACCACCCCAGTCAAAAAACAATACAAAATACACTTTGGGGCAAAAGTCTGTGCTCATGTTCGTGAGGCCCGCGAGCACTTTGTATTGTTTTCGAGAAGCTCGGCGGGGGTCTCAGCATATTGCCTGCTGCGCGCAGGGCTACCATCCCTGACAAAAAACTGTACAAAATGCACCTCGCGGGCGCGGCTGGTGCATGCCGCACACCTGGCGCACGCGGGGGCCCTTGGCGCATCTGGCGCACCAGGCGTGCCTGGCACGTTCGGGCCCCAGGGGTGCCTGGCGCGAATGGCGCGTGGCGCACCTCGCCCCAGCGTCGCGCACATGGGCTCGGTTTTGGTTCCCAGTAGCTGTCCATCCAAAGACGACCGCTGAACATGCTGAGGCTCGGGTGTTACTTATGTGTTGGGAGGGCGGGTGGGAGTGAGCAAAACGGCTTGCGGGCGGGTGGGCAGCTTGACCCCTCCCCCTACCCCCTACCCCTGGGGGGGAGTTTCGTGAGGCGTTGGAGCGTCCAAGATGGCATCGGCGAGAAAGCCAAAATCGTTGGTGTTACCAAGGTTTGGGCTTCAGCTAGTTGGAATCTCCTCCTGCTTTCGTCAATCTCCTCAAGTTGGCCCATGACCCCCGAAGCTCCCAAGGGTGCCCCAAGACGGCCCCATGAGGTGCCCAGGAGACCCTAGGAGGCTGCCAAGAGGCCCCCAAGATGCCCCCATTAGCCAAAGAAGCC